AAGAGTGCACTGTAATAGCAACGATTAAAGATTGTAGTGTAGGCCCAGCCAGGTGGTGCAGTCAGTGGCAAACTTAGCTGCAGTGATGGAAGCCCCGTGAGTGACCGTAGGTTCAGATCCCCAGGTTGACCTGAAAATACATCTGGCACGTGTGTGTATATACCTATGATCCTTATGAACTTGAGGGCTGTGGGAAAGGGAATTGTGGCATGATGAGACTCTGTCAAGGGTGTCTTCTCTCTCTGTAAAATGTGAGTGGTGGTGTTATCATGAATAAAAATAAACTTTAAAAAATAGGAAATACATAAGCCAGTAGCAGTTCAGTTTTATTAGAAAGTATTACATTCCGTATGTAATCACATGTGCTATATATTTATACTGCCGGCAGCACATTAGGTTTGTTTACAATAGCATTCTCACTGTAGACATGTGAATAATATGCTCACCTATGATGTTCTGATGTTCTAATGACTGCTGGGGCATCACTAATTCATAATAGGATTTTCTCAGCTTCATTATAATTTTTGGACCCATTGTTAAATATGCCATCTTGTTTATGTAAAGGTCATTTCATAGATTGGAATTGATTAAAAGTTCTCATTTTAAATGTTGCAAAGTGTTGTCAATAAATGTTAACCCCATATATTATAATTAATCAATCCCTTAGATTTAATCCCTTAAAATTTTCCTCTGTTGTATTTTCTTAAGGTTAAATCATAAAAGTTTAAAACTTAAAACTTTTTTTTTTTTGAGAGGTTTTCGCTATAGGGTGTGTGTGCTCGCCAGACAGACAGAGACATAGAGACAGAAAGCGAGAAATCACCCACCAGGGGGTTGGTCACGCCGCAATCCCTTCTCCTCCGTTCTCCTCTCGGGATCTTGGGCATGCACGCATAAGCACCCGGCGTGAGTTCTAAGCCACCGGGTCCGGGACGCGAACCGCAGTCGACTACGTGGGAGTCCAGTGACATAACCATTACACTAACTGCTGGTTCCCAAGACTTAAAACTTTTTAAAAGAGGTTATTTTGCATCACTAATTGTACTCATTGACTTCGGTCACTTATTTTTCTTGTAGAAGGAAGAGTTTTTTTAAAATAGACCATAGATTATTTTTATTACCTATCATGCCATGAATTCTTAGGGAATCCAGTAGCTCATGCTCCTTTCCATAGGTTCTCACAAAGTGTGCTTCTCTGGATGGAGCAGGCTGGCGCTTTAGTTGAACCTAGGTACCTTTCTCTTTGGCTTCCTTCTTTTTCTGATCATTTTCCTTCACTCAGTTTAGGAAGCTATCTCTGCTCTTAGAATGCCCAATATGCTCAATACCCACATTAATTCTCTTGGCAAGAATCTTGCCCTTAACTTGTTTGTTTACAACAATGCCAATAGTATGCTTGGTAACATTGTACTCTTCCAGTTTTGCCACAGTAACATGTGTGGGGCATTCCTTTTTGAACAGTACCAATTCCCTTGATGTCTACAATATCACCTTTCTTGTAGATTCCCATATATGTTACCAAAGGAACCACTCCATGTTTTCTAAAAGGCCCAGAGAACAATTATCGGGTGCCTCTCCTCTTCTTTGTGTCCATCATTTTGATGGATTACTAGAAGATGGCAGTTCTGTCCAAAAGGACAGGAGGAAGATTTTCCACTTAAGAGAAATTTTTATTTTTTTTTGAGTTGTGAACTCTGTTGTTTTTGAATTGTGAACTCTTTCAGGTAGAAGAAGGCTGGTGGAGTGGAACCCTGAACAACAAATTGGGACTGTTTCCCTCAAATTTTGTGAAAGAATTAGAGTTAACAGATGATGGCGAAACTCATGAAGCCCAGGAGGATTCAGGTAGATTGTTTAAACGAAATTGAATCAATTTAAATGCATTATATATTCAGCATTTTATATTTTTTGACACCTTGTTTTTACTTACTTTTGAACTTTCAGAAAGCCTCAGTAAGTCTACTTTTTAAAAATAAAATATGATGGCACTCTAAAAGTGAAGTACATATCCAGCTGAATAATTTGATATTTTCCTTTCTCTGATGTCTATTTTTACTTTTAAGTAAGTCTTTAGTACCTTGAACATAAAATACTGCTACTTATGTCATCTGATTTATTTCTACTGAAGGTGTATTTTTTTTACACTTTTGATTTGTCGAATTTACAAATGACCTCTCTCTAATACTTAAAAAAATGTGGAGGCCAGCAGGTGATGTTGCAGTTAAAGCACTGGGCTCCCATGGGGCCAACTGCAGTTCAAGTCCTGTACTTGAACTCACGCTGGGCGTGTGTGTGCATGCCCAAAATCTCAAGAGGAGAAGGGATCGCAGAGTGGCCATCACCGCTGGGGGTGATTGCTCACTTTCTGTCTCTCTCTGGTGAGTGCATATGTTAGAGATTAAAAAATAATTTTGTTGTTTTCCATATTCACATAATAGTTTTTGTTTTTTTCTGTGCGGTTTTGTAACCTTTGTCATCTAGAGATTCACTCATTGATTCATACTAATTTGCTTACCATTCAAGAGTATTTTTGAGGGTTGGCCCCATAGCACAGTGATTAAAGAATTGTAGTTTGGGAGCTGGACTTCATATAGCCAACTGATGTTTGAGTCCTGGCCCCAGTGGTTTCAACAGACATGGTTGTGTGTGTGTGTGTGTGTGTGTGTGTGTGTGTGTGTGTGTGTGTGTGTTCCTGTATTCCTGGTGAGATTGAGAGGTGAAATGGAAGGATTGTGGTGTGTCTATGCCCATTGAGGCATTCTTTCTTTCTCTCATTCTCTTTCTTTTCTCTTTCTCTCTGGTAAGCACATATGCCCTCTAAAATTAAAAAAATTTAAAACGAAGTATTTTTGAGAAAAATGTACCCCAAAGCTAGGTTTAAATTTTGTTACTGTTAAGAATTGCTGTACTGGGATCAGCAGTTAGTGTAATCGCTATGTCACTGGACTCCCACGTAGTTGACCGCGGTTCACGTCCTGGACCCGGTGGCTTAAAACTCACGCCAGGCGCGTGTGCATGCATGCCCAGGATCCCAAGAGGAGAATGGAGG